CAAAATATTATAGTAATTGTAATAGTAATGCGATAGTAATGAAACTAGAGTTTTTCGTGCTTCCAACGGTTTGAGGAAAAAAGAAATAAATTGAACAAATTCAGGATATCGGAGAATTTGGGGGAGCAAGGGAAAAACGCACATTAGGAAAACGGACAAAACGGTTCAGGTGAAGGAGCGTTCCTAGGGCTGCGACACACCGGGGGAGGGGGCTCAGGGTGCGAGGGTTCACTCTTGGGGAAGGAAAAAATTCTCCGTTATTATTTTCGTGGGAGCAGAAGCGCAGGCGGCAAGGAGGGCTGCCTCCGCAAACCGCGCAGAACAGCAGCGGGAAAAATCTGCCACTAAATTAGAGGTGGGGACATTTCCACTGCCCCTCGGGATGGCAGGGACCAGGGCCCCCTCCCCTGCCGGGGCGCGGAGGGAGGGGACGGGAACGGGACGCGGAGCGACGGCGCAATTACCGGGGGGAAGCGGAGGGGCCCTCCCCAAAATGCCACCTCCGGGCGGGGGGGAGAAAGCTGCTTTTCTTCTTCTTTAGTCGATCTTTAAATACAGCCAGAAAAGAACATTAAAGGCATTTCTAGATTTCGTTTCAGTTTTGGTTTTTTTTAAGGTTTTTTTTTTTATTCCCATGCTCTTAATTTTGAAAAAAAAATCACAAAACATAACTTATAAAACAATATATATACTGCATCCTTATCCACAACAGCATAACTGAAACATCCAGCGTAACGTTTACCACAGGTGTGAAATACACTGGGAAAGAAGTACCGTGTGCATTTTATATTATGTTTCTTTGTCATCTACAGGTAATAAGTATCGACAAAAATAAGCAACAAATATGCCTGCAATTAAACTTCATATGCGTTTTGTATGCGTATTAATAAAGATCATATTTATCATTTCCATGTTTTTTTTTCCAACAAGCACTTGTTAAAGTATCTACATTTACATAATAACACCTTAAGATAATAACACCTTAAGATTTTTTTTTTTTTGTTCCTTGTTTTTCCTTCACAGTTAGAAAAGCAAGGAACGTTTTCAGCTTTGCTAAGCAACCTTTCCGGACGCCGATGCTCACTGTTTCTCTAGCAGAGATGCAGTATCTGGATTCACTCCATAACAGACCATTTTTCGTCTTTTTGTCTAGACTCTCTAAAAGGGGTTCAGTTTTTGGTTTGGGTTTTTAATTTTTTTTTTTTAAAAGAGAAAAAAACCCCCTGCATTTAAATAAAGATGAATGATAATTTCATTATCAGGATAAGATTTTGGACGGGGAGAATGCTGAACAGTTTTCACATCGCTGGAGGATTTCTGTCTTCTCTCATAACCGGGGATACTGCAGTCTTTTGGAAAGGATGAAGAGGTAGGAACCTTGAGCTGCTTAGTATCAGGAATGACTGGATTATAGCTTCCAACTAAAGAAAAAACATCAAGAATCATGCATTTTAAAAACAGTTTATTCAACGGCCAAGGACAATGATCCGGCACAATGCAACGGTAGATATAAATATAACCTTATAGAAGTGGTTGACCCTTGTCATTATTATTTTTAATAGTTTCATACCTAATATTTTAACCATTTTTTTCCCCGCAGAATCTACTCTGCGAATTATATTTTTTTTCTCCCCCCTCCCCCTTTTCTTTTTTTTTTTTTTTCCTCGAGTGTGATTCTGTTTCTCAGTGGTAAACATTAACCAAACTCTTCCCGTGCGACAAGCGGCCAAGAACCGTCCCACCAGCTCTTACCACCGAGGCGTCTCCCCCCCTCGCCGCCCTCCCCGCGGGGCAGCGGCCGCCTCACCAACTCCTGTGCAAGTTCAAGTAAACACATACAACCCGCATAATCCAGAGAAAAATTGCAACTCATCCATGTACCAGATTTCGGTGTCTCTTGCAAAAGTTTTCTGGTCCGTTTACGGTTTTCGATGGTTTATTTTTAATTTTTTTTTTCTTTTTAAAGAGCTGTTTTGTTGGTTGCGTCGTTGGTTTGAAATTTTTTTTTTTTTTTAGACAGTCGAAGTCCGCGGGGCTTTTGGGGTTTTTTTGGTAGTGTTTTGTTTGGTTTTTTTCTTTTTTTTTTTTTTCCTCTCTCACTTGCTCGGGTTTTGCTTTTAAACATCACCGGGTTTTAATTTTTTTATTTTTTTTTCTTTTTCCGTTAAACGTCGCTTTGCTTCTGCTTTGCTTTGTCGGCGGTGTTTTTGTCGGAGGTGGTTTGTGTCAAGTCCGTCAACTGTTGTACTGACAGGCGTTTAGACTAGAGCCGGGGCTTTGCAAACTGCTGTAGCCGAAACTGGAGTGCTGCTTTGATTTCAGTCTGAGGCTGGCTAAGCTGGAGTTGCAAGTGTCCCGGTAGACGCTGTAGGGCGAACCCGGTGGCCCGTAGGGACAGGCCGGGGAGGACATGGCCGAGTTGAGCGAGGAGCCGCTGATGTTGTTGATGTTGTTGAGGCCGGAGTTGGCCATGCCCGGCACGGCCGAGTGGCCCATACTGGAGGGCATGTTCATGGAAGAGATGCTACTGGGCGCCGAGAACATAGACTGGGAAGAGAGGGGGCTCATGGAGTTAAAAAAAGTGAAGCTTTTGGTGGAAAGCGGAGCCGGGGTGAGGCTTTTGGTGGCCCAGTTGTTGTAGGGGTAGCCGGCGTACATGTCGTCGTAGGGCTGCATCAGCCCGCTGAACTGCGGCACGTAGCCGTTCTTGCACAGGTCCAT